GAAAAGATTTGTCTTGCAATCAGACATGAATTCAATGAGATTAAAGTGAAGTATCTAATAATATTAGTTATATAAATAATGAAAACAACTTATTTGATTTAAATGCATATCCAACTTTTTCAAGTGATGATATGACATGAGTAGTTTGAAATTTTGATATGTATTAATTTGAATATTAGATATGTATTAGTTTGAATATTTGATTGTTATTTATTAGGCATTAATTTTATGTAATATTGTTTTTATATTAAATTGTTCATTGTATAGTATTTTTCTAATTAATATGTTTGTAAACTTTTAATTAAAAATTGAGTTAGTGATGCAAACTGTGAACAGTAGGTAACGAAGAAATAAATAGATTAAATACTAAAATAAATGGTATAAATCTCTAAATAAGAAACAAATACAAAGAATAAGCATATAGAAAAGGTATAATTGTTATTCATTTTTTCTTTTAAATATTTATATTTATAAATTAATAAAAGATGATATAATTATGGTGGGGTATGCATCCGTTTAAAGTTTCTAAAAATAAGGCTATTTATCTCTTAACATCTAAAATTTAATATAAGGGTAAAACTATCGACATATTATTTTTTTCTTAGATTGATAAAAAAACTCAGTGGATGAATCATTCCCCTATGTCAATAGTTGGGGATGTAGTACAAGTTAACGTTTCAAGTGTTGCAGCTGTGTTAACTAGCATATTTTTTCTTAAGTGGTACATAAACCGTTTAAGATAAAGGTCCATCCGTTAAGTCTATGCCGAATAACTATTTTCTCGTGGTCTTCTCAATTTTGACATCTACTTTGTCTTTCTCCTGAAATATCTAAAATTTTAAAGAGGAGAAATATCTAAAATTTTAAAACAAACATTTTAAGAAAAATATTGTGTAGACAATTTTTTTATTCATACACAATAATTTATATTTTAGAAGCGTGTGTGTGTATATATATATATATATATATATATATATATATATATATCTATATATATATATATATATATATATATATATATATATATATATATCAGTGTTGTAGAAATCGGCCTAATCAGCCGATTAATCGCTAATCGGACCTCCACCGATGAGATTTATTGCTAATCGGTCACTTTAATCGGGTTTGGTAAATACAGGTCAAAGTCGAAATTAATCGGACCTAATCAGGCCTAATCGGACCTAATCGGACTTAATCGGACCTAATCGGGTTTGGTCAATGCAGGTCAAAGTCGGATCTAATCGGCCCTAATCGGACCTAATCGCCGATTAATCGCTTTTTTTGTAGGATTAAAATCTGATTTATAAATTTTTGAATAATTTTCTTAACAATTAATGGTCCCCGATTAATCTCTAATCGCTAGTCCACCGATTGACGGCCGATTAGCGATTTATGCAACCATGATATATATATATATATATATATATATATATATATATATATATATATATATATATATATATAAACAAATTATTATTATTATTATTATTATTATTATTATTATTATTAGAACAAATTACTGAAATCATCCCTATGGTTTGGTTAAATTTGCGTGTTTGGTCCCTAACTTTTGTTTTGCACTCGGACCGTCCCTATTGTTTTACTTGGTTGCATTTTTCGTCCCTCACAGACATGAAAAGACTATATTACCCTTGGTCATTTCTTTTTTGATTTTTTTTAATTATTATTAAAAATAAAAAATGTGGGCCCCTCACCTCATTATCTCTTTCCCCTCCCTCGTCATCACTCATCTCCCTCATCCCATTCCCGTCCTCTCATTTCTCACCGAAGCCACAACCACCAACGAAGCATCACCGAAAAACCACCTAGAAACGTCACCAGAAGACGCCACCAGGAAACCACCGATCCGCATCATCGATCCCTTCTCTTCATCTTTCCGCCCCCATCTGCTCCATCATCACTCTTCCTTCTTCGCCATCTACCTGAATAGATGGAGCATCGTGTCCGGTAAAATCCTCCAACCACCACTATCCTTCACTGAGTGTTGTTCCCATTTAACCCCATTCTTCTGAAAAACCGTATTTGATTTCAAGGATTTCATCAATTTTTTCTTTCATTGTCGTTTTCAGATTAGATTTTGCTTTTGGGTTTTGATTCCATATTTGGATTTCATTTCAGTTTAAGTTTTGATTTGGGGATATTGGTATTTGACTTTCGTTAGGTTTTTAATTTCAGAATTTGATCTTATTATGGTTTTGATTTCTATGTTCTGGTTTTGATTTCTATGTTCAAGTTTGATTTTCAGGATTTGATGTTTGGGTGTGAATTAATGAAATCGATTATGTGGTCTGTATTAGAGCTAAAGTCGGTGGATGCTAGTGATGTTGGAATCGCTTGGTGGTGGTTACTGGTGGTGGATGGTGGCTTTTAGTGGCTGGTGGTGGTTTTCAGTGACCTATGGTGGTTGTCGGTGGCTTATGGTGGTTGTGGAGCAAGTGGGAGGGACGATTTCAGTAACTATTTTTCTTTAATTAATAATTAATAAATAATAAATAAAATTGCAAAAAAATGAAAAAGAAGAATAGAAAGGGTAATATAGTCTTTTCATCTTGGGGGAGGCACGAATATAGTCTTTTCATATCTGTTAGGGACGAAAAACACAATCAAATAAAACAATAGGGACGGTCGGAATGCAAAACAAAAGTTAGGGACCCAACACACAAATTTAACTAAACCATAGGGACGATTTCAGTAATTTGTTATTATTATTATTATTATTATTATTATTATTATTATTATGGATAAAAAAAATAGTGTGCATAAAGCATTTTCCTTTTCTAAACCATAAAACTCAAATCTAAGATTTAATGTTAAACAAAATTAAATAAAATCTTAATTACAAATATTATACTAAAACGTCTGAAAAATAAATTATATTGAATCATCGAACCCCAAAACACATTAATAAATTATCTATATCATAATACATACTTATAAAGCTAGCATTTTTTCTTGAATCTCATGCATTTGAAACCCCATTTTTTAACTTTCTCAAACCACATTCATTTGAAACTCCCTTTTTTAACTAATGTAACTCAAAAGTTTTCTTAATTATGATTTAACACTCAAAAGTTTTATAACTTATATTATGTTTAATTAGCATTTAGTGAAAAGTTTACTTTAAAAAAGCCAATCTTTTGTGTCTTTTGTGTTATATAAAATCTTACATGTAAGAAGGATTTGAAGATATTGTGATTCAAAAGTTTTCATATAGTTGAAGCATTCACGATCCAAATATAATGATTTGAAGAAATGGGTTATGTCGCATCGATGATAATTGTAATATGATTTTTTCTTTCAACCAAAACAAATGAAGCTTTTCTATTCTTTCTTTATATTCAGTTTCTCATTTAATCTTTATATGTGATTTGTGTGTATTACTCAATCTTGAATGTGACTCTCCAAACATCAATGTTTTGCTTGGAATATCTTTCTGATTCTTCTTTTTCAAGAAAATATTTTGATTGCAGGTTAGTGAAGAATTGTCATCAAGTTTCTATGGTTGAATGGTGTTAAATGAAGAAAGAAGATTCATAAAATGGATATATGTGTTTTTGTTTGAGAAAAGTTGACGAATGTTAGTTTTTTCTTTTGATTTAAATGTATGTTTATGTAACATCTTTATTTATATATTCAACCACCCAATGCTCTTATTTATTTGATTGTAGTTTTTCTATTTTGATTATGTTTATTTTCTATTTTTTTTTTTGTTGGGTTATCATACACAACATATTTAAAAGACAATATTTAAAAGATAACATAATTTTGAACATTTGATATGTAATTATGATAGACTTATCATGATATGTTCTTCATATGAAAGTAATTTATTCATATCACTACGACGAGAATTACATATGACATTTACGAAAATATATATAGTATATGTGATTTGTTTAACATGTATATGCACCTATGTCTGTTATAAATTTATAATTAAATATCTTTATGTTTAATAATTGAAGGGATTAAAATGATGCATCAAAACCAATTATTTAGACGAATATAATAATAATAATAATAATAATAATAATAATAATAATAATAAGAAAAAACATCATAAATGGTCCCTGTGGTTTCCCAAAATCTGAAGTTTAGTCCCCGTGGTTTAAAAACGCCATAGATGGTCCCTGTGCTTTCAAAACTTTTGACGATTGGTCCTTATTGCTAACTCCGTTAAGTTTGTCCGTTAACTAAAGGGCATTTTCGTCTTTTCACGATCACAGGGACCATTTATGAGGTTTTCACTTATTTTAAAAAAAAATGAAAAAATGAAATAAGATGCAAAGGGGGTCCCCCCCCCCCCCTCTCTCTCTCAAGCCCTCTCTTCCTCTCGTTCTGATATCACCAACCACCACCACCGTGTTTCTTACTCTTTGCTGTTGATCGGAGCTAGACAAGCACTTTCACATAATAACAAAAAAGGGTTTAAGGCAAATATGGATCGTAACAACTAAAAACTCTCCTTGGCATTTTAACAAACACTTTGTGTGCATATTTCAGTGAACTAAAATTTGATAAACATAATAACTTTTGCAGTATATGAAGAACAAGAGAGAAAGAGAGATGCCTCTGTCATTTTTAAACTCGTGTGAATCGAGCACCAAGTACACCTCAAGAAAAATAGACCCACCCTTAACTTGCGAAGATCAAGACCGAGATGCCCTTTTTTCCTGTGCGCCTTTCTTCTCATCTGTACAGATTCAAATCACAGCCCCTTCTTCCTTATGTTCTCCAATTGCATATTGAAAAGGATTATGGAGGTGTTCTGATGATGGACAATGAAACGGTATAGGAGAAGAGAGAATGATTTCAATAGATATGATGGTCTTAATTCTTCATAGAGAAAAGATGTATGCCCTGGTTCTTGATTTAAAAACTTTGGTGAGATATGATACAACCATACAGGCGGTGGTCAAATTAGGAGGTGGAGGAGAAGATAGATTGTTGGGTCTACTAGTTTTGGTGAATCGGAGTCCTCACTGTGGCAGCGGGTGGTGACGGCGTGCAATTGTAGTTCCACTGCCTTGTTCATTTGTTTTATGCCAACGTGAACTCAAAGGGAGTGGCGGTGAACGGTGACAGGTGGTCGGAGGGAGCTGGTCAGATGGAGCCACACAAGCAGTAACAGCAGCACACGGTGTTTGGCTAGCTCCGATCAACAACAAATAGTGAGAAACACGATGATGGTGGCTGGTGATATAAGAACGAGAGGAAGAGAGGGGTTGAGAGGGAGAGAGGGGGGGGGGTGGGACCCCCTTTGCATCTTATTTCATTTTTTCTTTTTTTTTAAAATAAGTGAAAACATCATAAATGGTCCCTGTGATCGTGAAAAGACAAAAATGCCCTTTAGTTAACGGACAAACTTAACGGGGTTAGCAACAAGGACCAATCGTCAAAAGTTTTGAAAGCACAGGGACCATCTATGACGTTTTTAAACCATGGGGACTAAACTTCAGATTTGGGAAACCACAGGGACCATTTATGATGTTTTTTCTAATAATAATAATAATAATAATAATAATAATAATAATAATAATAAATATATATTTCCAAGTACCGCATTCATTTGAAACTCACACTACAACTCAAGAGTTTTCTAATTTATGTATATTTATTAGTTACAACTCAAGAGTTTTTAACTTATGATTATTAATTAGTAATCACTAATAACTTTTTATTTTCCTTTCTTTTATAAGGTTGTAAAGTTTTGCTCATCAAAAACATTAATGTATTTGAAGATATCTGTGATTGAAATATGAACAGTTAATATAAATGTTATAATAGATTTTTAGTGTTTTTATGTTATTAAAAGTTATAGTGTTTATTTTTCATATTTCTTTTATTCGTTGTATATATATCTTTTTTAATACAAAATGTTATAATAGATGTTTTTCTATTTTTATGTTACTAAAATTTGTAGTTCATATTTTTGTTCATACGTTTTGTTACCCGTTATATTATCATTCATTTGATATATAATTTACACAATTTTAAACGGTTTATCAAATTATCAAATAATTGTATATATCACAATGACTTAAAAATTAAACTATAATGTTTAATAAAACTAATATGTTAACTATATGTTTGCTTTACTACTAACATTTTGTTTCAAAGAAGAAATATTAAATAATAATTTGGTAAAAGTTATTATTTTAACTATATAATTCTATTCTCGCGCAACGCGCGGGGATTCACCTAGTATCTTATAAAGCTAGCATTTTTCCTTGAACCTCATGCATTTGAAACTCTCAAGACACCACATTCATTTGAAACTCCCATGACTTTTCAATTTCTTTCTAATAATGATTATAAGTTGGTTAATAATGTTAAATAAATATCAAACATAAAGTGTAATCATATATAAACTAAATTTCAATATTAAAATAATATCTTTACCTTTGTTTATAAAGTTATGTCTTTAACTTTTAACATATTATACTTTATTTATTAATTTTAAAATGTTGTCGTATGTAAACCATTATCATTTTAAAGCTACAACTTTTGAACAGTTTGGATAAAATACTTACATTGTTAATTTAAATATAACATTACATGGTCAACTTAAATATAAATTTTAGTTCAACTTAAACAACGCAAAGAATATTTTGTAAATAGTTAAAAGTGACAAATTGTAGTGTCTTTCTAATAATGATTATAATTTGGTTAATAAAGTTAAATAAATATGAAACCTAAGTGTAATCATAAATAAAATAAATTTTAATATTAAAATATTATCTTTACTTCTACTTATAAAGTTATATCTTTAATTTTTAACATATTATACTTAATTTATTAGATTTAATATGTTGTTATATGTAAACTATTATCAGTTTAAAGCTACAACTTTAGAACAGTTTGGATAAAATACTTAAATTGTTAATTTAAATATAACATTACATGGTCAACTTTAATATAAATTTCAGTTTCACTTAAAAAGCTCAAATAATATTTTTGTGAATAGTTAAAAGTGATAAATTATAGTGCTAAATGCAAAAACTAAATTGTAATCTCCATTTAACTAAAATATTTCCTAAAGATATTTTTATAATCATTTAAATTTCAAATAAATAGTTTAAAATAACTTACAATAACAATAGTTAAAACTAACTTTATATAAACGATTATATTGTTACCTTTAAAAACAAAAAGCAATTTTTGATGTTTTAAATAATTACAATGATAGAAATTAAAACATTAAACAAATAAATTTTAAAAAATTAATTAACAATAACAAATAATATTAAACCGTATATTATTTTTATTTTCGTCTATGAGTGGCTCACGGGTATAGATCATTCAAACGATAGAAATTATGTAGTTTTAATAGATTTATATATTATAATATAATTCAAAATAATCAATATATTATATCAATTTCGTATATGAATTATTATATCAAATTTAATAACAACGTTATTGTTATATTTAATAAAACATATATTTGTAAAGATTTCAACTATATAGGTGTTTCTGCGCAACGCGCGGGCATTTGTCTAATCAATATTCATAAAAGTTGATGTTTTTTTAGAGAAGTTCTCCTGTTCGTCTGGCAAATGCTTGGATTTATGACATGCTTCAACATTATACAAGAAAGTTATTAGGTCATTATTACATTGCGGAAGTAGTTTTAGTGATCAATATATGAGAAATCCGTACATCCCAAATATTAGACCACCTTGATAAAATCTTAGAATCTTCTATCCTCTTTAACCGTATACCACTTTTTTTTAAAAATAGTTAGCATGGGCATACAACTACTTTAGTTTTCCACATCGATAACCTTAAAGCGCAGATGATAATAGATATATGAATATTTCAGATTCATGTATTGAGTTGCACGGAAAGAGATACGACAACGGGAAACAGATTTGAAATGGAAAAGGGAAACGGCAAAACTCAAAAATTCAAGATACGGATACAGCATAAATACGGCAATATATATATATATATATATATATATATATATATATATATATATATATATATTAAAGAAATTCCAAAATATGTAAAGTTTAAACTCCAAAATTAGTAAATATTTCAAAAGTAAATAATTATCAAAAATCAAATCATTTTCAAAATCCGGTTCATCTAGTGACAGATCTGCAACCTCCAAAAACCTGACATCTTCCATTGAATCAAAAGCATCTGCACCCACATCCCACATCTTTACATCATCTTTCGGAGTCCTTGACAAAAGTCGGAGATTATTGTGGATGTAAACCAAGTCTTGAGCACGACTTGTAGTCAACTTGTTCCTTTTAAGCGAGTGAATAAATGCATAAGTACTGCAATTACGTTCAGCACAAGAAGAAGAACTAGGTTGTCCAAGTAATCTAAAAGCCAAAGTTTGGAGAAAAGGAGTTTGAGCACCAAAGTTAACCCACCAATTCTTGGGTTCCATTGTAGCCATCTTTGAAATGCTTGTTAAATCTTCAAAAGGACCACTCTTCATTGAAAACATTGCATACTCATCAAGGACTCTGCTATACTCATCACCATTAGGAAACAACCTTCAAAAACATTTCATCCTTTCTTGTGAAAAATTCTCCATCCCTATGTGGAGCACATCTTGTAGAATCCTCCATTAACCATGCATCACTATAATATCTACAACATCCAATAGTTAAAACATAAATATAAAATAGAAATCAAGTGTATAATTTAAAATCTTATACCTTGGATGTAAAGAGTGAGCTAAACAATGTAGGGGAGTGTTATTCTTCGCCCATCGAGCCATTAAAATACGATGCACAACGTCATAAAAGCAACTTATTTGAGATGTCAGACGTTTTTCTTTCTTGTAGATCTCAATCTTCACTTTCTCAATCATAGAATCCCACATCTCATACACCAAGTGTAAACATGGCTTGTCGGTGTCACAAGCTCTAATCATCTCATATATAGGTCCAGTGAAACTAAGAATATATGCTACTTTGTCCCACCAATCATCATTCAAAATATATTCTTTCGCAGAGTTTGCTTTCTCAGTGTAATCTAATCTATAAGAAGACCATTCTTCGCTTATGACCATAGCTTGAAGACCCATTTTGATAAGTTTCAATCTCTTAAGCATCACAATGATGGAGGAAAAGCGAGTGTCAGCAACAGAAAGCAGCCTAAGAAGAGTAAACTTGGTGAAAATCGAGAGTCTCATGTTATGGTTCATGATGAAATTTTTTATTGTAAACGCCTCTTCGTGAACTTCTTTTATCCAGCGACACTGTTCATATGTTAGTTCATTTGTTTCCACATTCCTTGGTGAACAAATGTTCTTCAAAGAAAGATTAAGCGTATGAGCAACACATGGTGTCCAATAGATGTGAGGAAACTGACTCTCTATAATCTCTCCAGTTGCCTTACAATTTGCTGCATTGTCAGTAATGATTTGTACAACATTTTCGTGACCAATTTCATTGATGACTTCCTTCATCAATTCAGCAATAAAAAATCTATCTTTCACTTCCCAAAACAATTCACTGCCTTTATAAACAAAGGACCATTACTTGAGGTAGCCATGAAGTTGATTAGAGGTTTTCTTGTAGGATCACTCCAGCGATCACTCACAATAGTCACACCTTTTTTTTCCATGTAGACCTAAGTGGCTCCAATAGCTTGTGAAAATTATCTTTTTCTTTTTGTAGTAATGTTGTTCTTAGCTTATTATAACCAGGAGGTACATAACCATCAATTTTGTTGTTAGCAGTAAACTGAAAAGCCCTGACATAGTGTGGATTTCTTGCAAGATTAAAAGGTAAACCTCCGGTATAAAACATTCTAGCTATTTTTTGATCCATTTGCTCCCTAATTTCAACACCAAAAGCTCTTTCAATAGGTGTTGAAATACCTTTTCTTTTCTTAAATCCCACACCAGCTTCACATGGCAATTGGACTTCTTTCACTTGTGACTCGATTTTCTTCTTTTCATACGCGTCTTCTAATTTTGTCATGTTCAGTTTGTCAGTTGTTGTTGCTTTCTTGCAAATAGAAATCCCATAACCTATATTCAATTAAAACAACATGATTTCAAGAACACACATAATAACATTAACATTCTCAATTAAACAACATGAAAAAATAAGGTCATCACTGACATAATAAATTCAATTACATTACATTAATCAAAACAAGAAAGTGAATCAAAAACCTCTTATTTCTTTACCATTGTTCATGAATAAATAGTTCTATTGAATAACATGAATCAAAAGTGCAACAAATACATGAATAAAAAAAATTGCAACCTTTAATTTCATTTCAATTGTTAATGAATCAATAGTTCAATACTTCATTACAGCAAATGAATCAAAAATCGCAACAAATACACGAATCAAAACAAAAATCGCAGCCTCTAATTTTATTTCTTTACAATTTTTCATGAATCAATACAATAAGTCAATAACATAAATCAAAAATCGAAAATTACATAGACACACACACATACTAATTTATTGGTAGATTACCTTTTATGCCAAGCAATTGTGCTCTAACTCTAGTATATGATCCTTTTCGGGTTTCACTGCAAAGGTTACACTTGAACTTCCAACATCCTCCTGCTCCAGCAAGTTTATCGAGTTTAGTCACAAAGTCCCACAATGGAGGTTGGTCTAGTGATGTAGATGATCCTTGTGGTTCTTGTTCTTGAGAAGAAGCCATAATAATCTATATGATTTCTGAATTGGTGAGTGGTGAATGTGTGAATGATTTTTGATTTTTTTTTTGTTCTTGTCTTCTTGATCGACGACACAGAGAGGCATTAAAACTGTAAAAGTCGATCACCAAGGAAACAGTAGGCATCATTGATTGGTTTAGGCTAGCAATTAGCCGTTTTAGGCTTGTAAAGTAGTAATTGACTAATTGTAGGGTAATAACAACTGATATACGACTACAACCCATTACTCTATTAGCGCAAATTAAAAGACCATGCAAAAAAAGGAAACGTGAAGGAAACTTGCCAGTAACGTTTCTGGGATTGCCGATACTTGCCAGTAACGTTTCCCGACCGTTTCACCGGCGTTTCCGTTTCCCCTGCGTTTCAGATACGGGAACGGCTGCTGTTAGGGCATTTCCATGCATCGTAGTTCATGTAGCATTATTTAGAAAAATGGGATGTACAAAAACAATAAATTATTCACAGAAAATTCCACTTCATCGAATCTTTGCTTAACCTAAGGCCCCACATGGACTAATTGCTCAGATGTGGAGTTCAATCAAAAGGACAAATGTGAAGTTGCTGTTGCAATTTTGGCCAAGGGTGAAGCACTCCAAAGCGGAGTCTCGGTTTCAGTCCGGAATGGGGAAAAGTGGGTTTTAGCTAAGATTAAAATATATAGATGAAGTGTAGTCTTTGTCAGACGGTCTGAAGCATAGTCTCTATTATTGTGTTCGTACAAGCTTCGGTCCGAAGTGCTCGCGAAACAGTTTCAACTACTTAGTTTTGGTGTTGACGTCTGTACAACCTTGGAGAACAAGTTAACTTCTTTCCAGCCTATGAAAGGCCCATTGACCCAACCCATGAATTTATGTTAACACTGGTATAAATACATCTCATTTATTTTAACCCTCGAGCGATGAGAGTGTAAACCGATATTATGAAAGTAGTAAATACATAGTTGTTTGTGTGTGTGTGTGTCTATATATATATATATATATATATATATATATATATATATATATATATATATCATTTTGATTAATAAAACAATATTCTCAAGTTTTCATGTTAACGCAACTTAATCTGAGTGATCAAGTGAATCACTTTAAATGTCCTTGTGTAAACCGATTGAATCTGGGATTTAGGATTCAAGTGATTTACTCCATGCAAGTCATTGCAAAAAAGTAATGTATGATTTCAAGCATTATAGTGGCAAAGTATGGCTTCTGAACAAAAACAGTATGGATATCACCTAACTTGGGTATGTTGTCCTCAAAACAACTTTAGCTTTGTAGTGGACTTTGAAGAATGTCAAGTACATTTAGGACTTGAAGAGAATGGTGATATTAAAGGGGAAGTTGGGTGAAGAATGAGATCATGTTGATTTTGTTAGTAACCAATGGAAAGTAACAAAAGGGAACCTTATAGTTGCTCAGGATCAGAAGCAAGGAACATTATATGGTCGAATCTGTGACATATGCAGTAAACTCAATAGTTAAGTATACAATATATTGTACTCTATGGAACTAGAGGCCCGATCAGATAATTGTGAAGGGAATAAAGATGTTGGCTTCTAATGACAGGATATCGGAGTTGAGAAGCACAACCATGGAATTTGTGACCTATGTGTACCTTGCAGCTAGAAGACGGTTACATTCTTCGAGATAGGGCTGACACATAAGGGCAAGAAGTTAGAACTAGTTCACTCAGACTTGACTAGATCAACTCTACAACATGAGGGACTTATCGGAAGATAAAGTCCACAATCAAAATAAGTTGGTAATATTACTATTAATATTAGGGTCTTTTTGGGTTATACACGAGCATAATGTTAGAGAAACTAGACGATAGTTGTTCAAAACTCAGAACAAATTTGATGCCACTTGCAAGTTTTTATGACACTGTTAGGGGCAAGATCCTCAATCCTATCCATGATCCCAAATCTTAAAGAGATCCTAGGATCCCGAAATATACATCCTAATAAATCAGGATCCTGATCATTATCATTATTATTTCCTAACAAGATTAACGATTATATTTCTTGTTTATTTCTCACATGTGCAGAAATGGTCAACATAAGACTCATTCTCAACAAAGAAACGTTTCAATTCGGCTTAAGACCCGGAAATACCAAGTCAAAGCACGTACAAATCCCGATTCAACAAGATCTTGGAAATATCGGACTTTTAGTTACATAACCTAGACTATAAATACACTTGTAACATGCACACACAACGGACATAATTCTTTGACACCTTATAGACCTAGAGCTAGGAAAACACTTGTACTCGTATTTTCTTCATCATCTCTCTTATTTACATTCAAATCGATAATATGAAATAAGGTAGGTGGTCATTATCACCTCCCAAAGTTTTATGTCAGAGATCCTAACAAGGATCAATAACTTTCCTTGTAAGCCACTTCTGTCCTTTTGATCTTAATTCGATATTTGTTTTAACTACAACACCACCGCCTCTCATACACTTTGGTTGATATCCATTTTATTGACTCTTGACCAAAACAATTTGGCGCCCACCATGGGGCTGCGATGTTCATAATTCCTGAAAAATCATGTTTACACAATCAACTTTATCTTCTTCCTCTATTCCTACAATTACCCTAAAGATCTCCCACCACCTCTAAGTGGACCTCCAGGTGTGAAGAAAGCCTTTAAAACTTCTAGGAAGAGCACCTCTCCGAATACCAAACGTGGAGGTCTAGGATCCGGAGGGTTCCAGGATCCTCCCGTGTTGATTTCCAACAAAGAACTCTTCTCCATGATGAAGACATTAACGCAACAAGTAAACCAACAACGATAGGATCCTCCCATGTTGATTTCCAACAAAGAGCACTTCTCCATGTTGAAGACATTAACACAACAAGTAAACCAACAACGAGAGGAAAATAGGACAATACTCAAGGAGATGAAAAGAATGAGGATGGAGATCCACAAACCACATAAAGCAGCATCCTCTTCTTGAAACCCAGGATCCTTAATATCAACATTGTAGGATCCCTATGGAATCATCGAGAGCGTACAACTTCGGTGCATGATATTGCTTTAACTTCGGGTGTAGTCCTAGTTAATCAAGCTCCTGTGTCCCAGGATCCTAGAGAAACCTTCACTACTCCTACAAACCAAAACGCTGGTCACGTTTTGAATAATAATGCCTTTAATACTAACTCTATAGAACTTGATGTAGGGATAAGTCCAATAATTGCAAGGGAACTTCAAAAACACAGATAAATGATCTTGAGCATACCAGAAGTGATGCAACCGATACTATAAGTATCTCCCACAATCCATAGGATCTCGAGATTTGCTCAAGCAATAGTCGATTTTGAAGTTGCAAAACAATTCCAAATTCCCAGCATGAAGTCCAATGATGGAACTACGGATCCTGAGGAGCATGGAAGCTTCTTTATGGAAAGGATGGAAATCATCCTTATTCCCTCACACTAAAAGGAAGCTTCTTTATGCAAGGGTTTTGATTCAACCCTCACAGGAGCACCCTTGAAATGTGTAACGCCCCATTTCTGGTATGTAATTTAAATATAGTATTTTCCTTTCTTAAGAGGTACTCGACGAGTCAGTAGCCCGACTCGTCGAGTAGAGACGGGATTTGCACGTGTTTTTAGCGGGCGACTCGACGAGTCCATATTCCGGACTCGGCGAGTCCGCCAGTCTGGATGAAACCCTAAATCCCAGGGATTGTACCCTATTTAAACGTTATTATAGCCTCCCATCCCAGCATCCAGCACCTCTAGAGCATTTCTCTGTAAACCCTAGTCCCCATTGTTGAGCTTGAGTGTTTTGTGCAAGCTTGGAAGTTGTAGAAGAGAAGGAAGGAAAGAAGACCAATAGAAGAGAAAGGAGATCCAGAATCTAGCTTCCATTTGCTACATATTCTGGTAATAAAGTTATTACCTTGCTTATTCTTCCATTAAACCCTCTTTTATGCTTGTTATGTCTTTTTTGGAGCTTTATATGATTCAAACTCGAGATTTGAGCTCTCCTTTGGATGGAGACCATAGATTTGAATGTTATTGAGCTCTAGAAACTCAATATAACTACCTTTATGCAAATATAGCCTTGTTCCAAACCCTAAGTGCTTAGTGTTGGATGATTTAGGTATTTTAGCCCCATTATCATGTGCATGCATGTAAAGTTGGAAACTTTACGTGCAAAACCAGCCCTAGAAGCCCAGATCTATGAATCGGATGCATTGAAATCGACTAGAATCGACTGTATAGTAATGGCATGCAGGAGACTCGGCGACTCCACGCCGTGACTCGGCGAGTCCAAGGCAATCTTCTTGTCTCAAGAACAGACTCGACGAGTTGTTCATACAACTCGGCGAGTCACAGTCAGGACGTGTTCTTGTGATGAAGGAGAACTCGACGAGTTGTTCATACAACTCGGCGAGTCGGATGAAGTTAGACTCGATGTTAGTATCGAAGAAGAACTCGTCGAGTCTTTGCCAAACTCAACGAGTAGAAGCGGGTAGAGGATTAGAAAGAATGATAGGGACTCGGCGAGTTGGCGGCCCAACTAGGCGAGTCCGGTCAACTGAAAGTTGACTTTGACCAGGGGTAAAATAGTCATTTTACCCTGAGATTATTTATCAGTATTTGATTTAGTGTTTATGGGATTTGTAGCCGGGGAGTTCCGGAGCAGCAGTCAGACAGTTTCAGATTTAGCATCTCAGCAGCCAGCATTACGAGGTGAGTTCCCTTCCAGTAGGAACGGGTCTACGGCCACAATGCCGGCCCGTTTAGTTAGCAGTAGTTCCGGACATCGGCCCGATGCAGTAGTTCAGTGTGCTTGATGTCTTTGTGATTCAAGCCTGTCTCTGTGTTATGTGTTCTGGACTTCGGTCCGATGCAGTATGCAGTATATGTGTTTATGCTAGTAGTTATGATTATGCCATGCTATGTTCAGTTAGTCCCGGACTTCGGTCCGATGCAGTTTCCGGACTTTGGTCCGATGCAGAGGGCAAGG